CTTACCCAAACGCAACTGCATTTGTAAGTTCTGTCCTTACACTCTACTCCATTCCCTTCTGACCCATTCTGAGGGATTCACTAATGAATCCCAGAACCAAAACAGACAGGCTGGGCCATCAGAGCAGACACAGTTGTCAAGGCAGAAAGCTTGTCTGCGGGTCCCTGGGCTGGCCACTACCTGAGCATCACCCTTCCCTCGGTCCTGTCATCTACACTCAGGTCCCAGTCACCTGGTCCCTGAGCCTGAACACAGTGGGCAGCCTGTCAGAGAAGCAGGGCAGAAGCTCCCCCAAGTGATGGATGGGGCAGCCCCATGCCAGCTGCTTTCTTCATCTGAGCTGGAGTGATCTGACAGTCTGAGGGTCAAGGAGGAGGGTGGCTCCCCTTCCCAGCTGGTCTGGCATGAGATCAAGGGACAGGACTGTCAGTGTGAGTCTGGGAAGCGCCACGAGCTTGTCTCAGTAAAAGGATTTTGGAGAGTAAGGGGGACCTACAAGGGGGCTTCAGAACAATTTTCACTTCCTCCTTCCCTCTGTGCTTACTTAGGCAATGCCCAGCCACAGACATGGGCTCGGGTACATGCCCGCCATGCCCTTCCTCAGCCATATGGCTTTGGGCGGGTCACGCCTCTCTCGGAGGCTTGCTTCCTTCATCTATAAAATGGGGGTGCTGATGGGGTTTGTGGAGAGTCCAAAAGCAAGACCACAATCACAGCTAATACCCGCACAGCACTCACAATCTGTGAGGCCCAGTTCTGAAGGCTTCACATATATGCTTTATTTAATCTCCACAACAACGCTTTGAAGTAGACACAGAGAGGTTAAGTGACTTGCTCAAGGGAACACAGCTAGTCGGAGCAGAGCCAACATTCAAACCTAAGTAACCTGGTTCCAGGCTCTGCTCTTAACCACTCCTCGGAGTGAGGGTTTCCAGCACAGGCTCTGCAGGAGCTTGACCAATATGAACTCCCTTCCCCCTCCCCTCACGGATGCCAAGGAAGGGCTGCTCCGGGAAGGAGGCTGTGGTCAGCCCAGCTGCAGGACAGAGAAGGAGCAGAGATGCTTCTGGGAAGCTGCCTCCCAGACTGGGCTTCAGTGGTAGCTAAGAAGTTCCAGCAGCAGCCCAAAGACTCCTCAAGCTGCCCAGGTCCTTCCTGGGCTGACTTGATGGGTCCCCTGAAATGACCCTGCCTGGGTCTTCCTCAGAGTCCTCAGAGAGAGCAATCAAAGCTCCATCACTCAGGGGGAAACGTTTTTTCAAGCACATCAGGATATAGAAGCTTCTCACCCCGACCATATCACAGGGCGGGGTGGGCGGACGGTGTCTATCTCAAACACCTCCAGGAGCCGGGGCCCTCCTAAACCACCACTAGCCAGGACGTCGCCCAAGCCTCTGCTTGGGACCCCAGCATCCTTTGAGGGCCTAACCCTCCCAGCCCCAGGGTTAATTGAGTCCAGGCAGTGTAGCAGGAGGGCTGGCCCCCAGCTGGCATTGGAATGCTCAGAAGACAGCTGCCTCCTCGTGCCCAGAGCATCCCTGACTTCCAGAAGCAATGGCAAGATGGGGCAGGGATGCCTACAATTCATTAGGTTGAAACCCAAACCCAGGACCATGACATCAAGGGCCATTTTCCTTTAATTATCCTCATGTGTCAACACGAGAGCGGGAGCAAAGGCCTCTGTGGAGAGAGCTCAGAGCTCTAGGGACAAAAATGTTTTATCCGGAGCCCCAGTCCCATGGCTGTAAGGAAACCAAGACTGATGAACGCAGGGGACATCATCAGCTGATGGCCCCCTCCTTTCCTAAATTTCTGTCTCCCTCTCCCTGGGTCAGCGCTTTCTCACTCGTGTCTCTACCTCCTAACTTCGTCTCCGTTTTCAACCCCATCTTTCCACAGTTCCACTGCTCGTCTCATCCTCTCTGTGCCAGGCATCCTCCACCTGCCCTTCCAAATCCCTGCCCTGCACTTCCCTGCCTGGCTCTGTGCCCCAAAAGTCTGACCTCTCAGGTGCATCACCAAGATCCCTTGACTTTGGATTCTGCCGACCCAGGAGGCACCGACAGGAGGTCCGAGGCCAGAGGAGAGGCTGTGGAGGACGTATCCCCCAGCCCTGGCCCCTCTGTGTCCTGCTGTGGCTCCCATCCATCATTTGCTGGATGCTGGTACCCACTCCCTCACCTTGGCTTTTGGCTTCTCACTGCGGCCCCTCCCTAGTGCTCTGCCCTCCCTCACGGGCTCCCTCCAAACCCACAACATCTCTGTGAATGGTCCCTTCCTTAAACTCTCAAGCGTGCTCTGAATGTGCCCACTGTCTCCCCCCGGGACCCTGACTGATAACGCTCTCCGTCCGCGTTTCCATCTCTCTCTGCACACCTGCATCTGCTTCTTGAGCCCATCCCCACTGCTACCTCCATGTCCATCCTCCTCTCTCCATCCTCCTTCCTCATTATTCTATAGCTCTGTCTTTCTAATCCCACCCCCTCCCATTTCTGCTTTAGTCTTTCTGCCTCATTCTCTCAGTCGCCTCTTCTCTTCTTTCTTCCTTTCCTCTCCCCAGACTACATAAAATCCTTCATTTCAGAGGTAGGATCTACCGACCTCCATGACAGCACAGAGGGACTTTCTATGAGGATCCACAGCCCCTAAAGAAAGCACCCATTTGAATGAGCCCCCCACCTGCTCTCCAAGCCTACTGTTTGGATTCTAACTTTAGACTCTCTCTAGAAGCTTGTGTGGGAAGAATAATCATCCCTCTGGCAGGGATGACCCCCTGGGCAACCCTTGAATATGAATTCAGGCAGTGAGGGGAGGGCTAGGCTCTCACTCCTGAGCCCCGGGCTCTCCCGCCAGCGCTCCTGAGGGATCTCACTAGCAGCTCAGCCTCCACGAGCCCCAAATAGGAATCCTCCTTTCCCCTCTATATCTTCCTCCCCAATCCTCCCAAGGAGTCACACTTGATTCTTCTCTTTCTTTCATCCGAACCTCAAAACTAGTAGACTGTCTTGGAAATTCTATCTCCAAAATAAATCTCCAATACACCCATTTCTCTCCGTCCCCCATCACCCTGGTCCTGGCCACCATCACCTCCCGCCTGGATATTGATGCCAACTTCTCACTGGTCTCTTTGCCTCCACTCTTAGCTCCCTAGCCTCCATTCTCTACCCAACTAGAGTGACTGATCCTTAACCTTAAATCAAATGAGATCATTTCCCCGCTAAAACTCTGCCAAGACCTCCCATTACTTAGAATAAACGCCAAACACCAGCCTAGCCCTAATGAGGCCCTAATGAGCTGCCTGCCAACCTCTGCCTCACTCTACCTGGCCTCACCCAGCTGTCCTCCTGGTGTCCCCCACCCATGGTGTCAGACCTGTGGGGCCCCCAGATGCAGAGGACCAGAGGGCGCCTAGACCTTTCTCCTACCAAGGCTCAGTGCCTGCTGTCATGGCAACATGCTCTCCTGTGATGGGGGGCAGCCGCACGAAAAGACACAGCCACCAGCCTCGCACTGCCTGCAAAAGCAGCAGCTCTGGGACGTCCCTGGTGGTCCAGTGGTGAAGAATCCGCCTTCCAATGTAGGGGACGCAGGTTCTATCCCTGGTCAAGGAACTAAGATGTCACATGCCATGGGGCAATTAAGTCCGCGCGTCACAACCGCTGAGCTCCTGTGCCTCAACTAGAGGGCCTGCGTGCCGCAAACTACAGAGCCCATGCACTCTGGAGCCCACATGCCACAACTAGAGAAGAGAAAAACCCGCACTCCACAACTAGAGAGAAGGCCGCACACCACAACTAAAGAGAAGCCTGCACGCTGCCACGAAAGATGCCACGCGCCGCAACTAAGACCCGACGCAGCCAAAACAAATAAGTAAATAATAAAAGATATATTTAAAAAAAAAGCAGCAGCTCCTCCAGGAAGTCCTCCCTGATCAGCCCAACTCCCCACACTTTCTCGCTAACCTCCCACCCAAGGCTGGCCTGCCTACTATGTCCACATGTGGAATATCTGCCTGAGTTTGTTCTTTGGTCATTTGGTGGGGAGAGTATATAAATCTATTGTCATCTGATGTACCTAAATCTCACATATGAAGTCAGATCAAAGGCTCCTAGCTCAAGGGTGGTGTCTTAGGTATAAGGAATACCCAGGGGGCTGCAAACCCACCCCTGTCTCAAGTGGCCCTCCTCTACTCACCCCTGCCTCTGAGGACACCCTGTGTATCCCTCACGTCTCCCAGATACTCCCCCTCTTCAGCCCATGCCTTCAGACTCAGGTGAGACCAGTGAGAGCGAATGTCAAGGGCACTTTCGTGGGGAAGGAAGAGAGGAGGAGGAAATCAGGAAGAGGCTCTGTGGGACTCAAGGGGTGGAGTAGGGGGTGCTCAGAGCCAGGGTCAGCAGGTGATGACAAGCCGTGAGCACCTCTAGAGACAAAGCAAATGCCTGCCCATCCCTGGGACAGCAGGGTGTGGGAAAGGCCAATGCACAACGCTGGGCTGGGGAAGGAGACTTTGATCTAGACCATCCTGGTTCCAATTCTGGACTCGGTCACCTCCTAGCTCTGCAGCTTGGTCAGCAGGATAATAACAGTAACTGATGTTTATCGAGTGCCAGGCACAGTGCCCAGCAGATTAGCCATATTCATTCATTTCACGCCACAAGTCTAAGGCTTAGGTGCCGTTATTACTCCCATTTTACAGATGAGGAAACTGAGGCACAGAGAGATTAAGGGACCAGTAAGTGGTAGAATGGGCATAGACTGAGGACTTCCCAGCTTAGCAGCCCCTGTCTTTAACAATTCCCTCCCCCGACCACCACACAGTCAGGGACCGAGTGCCCCAGACAGGCCCGGCTCTGCAGGCACACAGTAGGGCCTTGGTTTACAGATGTGCTGTCGCTGTCTTGAAATTCTTGACAATTTTTTAACAGGAGTCTCTGCGTTTTCATTTTGCACTGGGTTCTGCAAATTACATGGCTGATCTGCCTCTGGATATCAAGATAAATTTGTGGGGTGATTGTGAGATTGGGGGACAGCGATGTGTGCTCTGCGCCCGGTGGCTGGGCCTATCGCCGTGAAGCAAGGGAACTGAGCTCCACCGGCAGCCCCTGGAGGCGGGCAGTCTGGCTGACAAGCCAACGACCGTGACTTCGATCCCTCCCAGGTTCATTGTTAAGCGCCTGCCCGGAAGGAGATGACAGATCCACACACAGATGGACGAGCAGATGCCAACCGTCCTCCCTTCATTACGGCTCTGCATCTTGTCACTCAGCTCCCCCAGTCGCTGTCAGATGGGTGCCCGGGTACCTGAGAGTGATCATCGCCACAAACCTCCCGATCTTGGAGACATCCCCGCTGCCACCTCTCATCGTGGCCTTGGTCCACAGGAGGCTCTCAGGTCCAGAGGAGAAGCACAGGCCTGGTCAAGTCACAGGGTCAGGAAGCAGAGAGCTGAGGCTCAAACCCACAATCCCTACCTCCGGTCCGCGCTCTCCAGCCCCTCTGCCTCTCTCTGTACTGACGCACCCCTTGCTCAGCGTCTGCCCATAAAGGCAGACACAGGCAATGTGGCCCTGCTGCCCACGGAAATTTCCCTTTGGCCCCGGCACCCCTCAGGACTAGGAGTGGGTGACGGCAGAGGAGGAAGGAGGAGGGGCTGGGTGCACAGGGCACCAGCCGTCACTTACCCACCCATTTATCTGCCTGCCTGGCAACCTGCCTGTCTGCCTTTTCTCCCATCTTCTATTTATTTATCCGTCAGTCTATCTTTCCGTCTGTCTTTTCATCTCTCACCTGTCTCTCTATGTGTCAGAGCTGCCCATGGTCCTCACTCTCTCATCCACCTTCAAGCAGGAATCCGAACATACCTGTGCCTCTGCGGGCCCTCTCCTTCCTCCTGCAGTTGGTACAGCCCCACCTGTGTCCTGGAACTTGCACCTGCCCCTGCAGGTAGAGACACTGGGCTTCAGAGAACCCTACAGTCTATAGCAAAATTATTATCATAAATGGCCATGGTTTGGACACCCACACTCTGTGGGTTCTGCACCCTTTTTTTCCCTCGGCAAACGTTTTCTGAGCACCTGCCATGTGCCGAGCACCGTGATTGGGCCCTGATGTTAGGTCAGACAAGGCAGCCAAGGTCCCTGAGAAAATGAGTTTCCACTGGGGACCAAACATAAAAACCATCCATCTTTTCCACATGAGAGAAGCTAGGCTCAGAGAGGCTAGGTGTCTTGCCCCAGGTCACACAGCCAGTGAGGGGCGCAGCTGTATCAAACCCTGGCCAGACACCTCCCAAGCTGGTCTGTCTTCTTTCCAAGACGGTTGCCAATGGTAGCTTTGCCCAGAGAGGACCTGCAGAGCCCAGAAAGGTGGCAGGGAGGCAGGGATGGGTGGAGGTACCCGCCTCAGCTGCTGGCAGGTCAGGATCTGACTCTCCAGGGCCACACACTCCATCAGCTATTAATCCCTCCGCTCAGCTGTGTTTTTCTATAGCATCGTGTCCCCCAGGCACTGTGATGGGCAGGTGGTTACTACGAGCACCATGCTCGGGAAGGAAGGGGTGCATGGCCCCCAGCATCTCTCCCAGAGCCAGCTTCAGACTAGCCACAGGCCTGGAAGGAAGGTCTCAGAGTGTCAGGGATGGAGAGGGACACAAAGGTCATCAACTCCACCCCCACCCCTGTCCTGTCACCTCAGAAAGAGCATGAGGAATCTTTACTGAAACACGCTTTGAAAAAAGAGCCATTTTGGTCTAGAACAGAGGTGAGCAAACTTTCTGTAAAGAGCCAGGAAGTAAGTATTTCTGGCTTTGCAATCATACAGCGTTGCAACTGTTCAGCTCTGACCTGGGAGCAGGAAAGCAGCCACAGACAATGTGTAAGCGAACAGGTGCGGCTGTGACCCAATAATTCTTTATTTACCAAAACAGGTCCCTCAGGCTGTACTTTGCTGACTCCTAATCTAGATTCGATGCCAATAACAACAGCAATAATAATAATTATGATAGTTAATATTTATTGAGCACTTACTATGTACCAGGTCAGATCTCATAATACCCTTAGGAAGTTGGGACTGTTATTCTTTCAAATTTACAGTTAAGGAAACTAAAGCACAGAGATGTTAAGTAACTCGCTTGCCCAAGGTATCCCAGCCAGTTAGTGGCAGAACCAGTCAGAAAGTTCTGCTTTACATCCTTTCCATCTTGTTGCTCAGAAGCCTATTGTCCTCTTTGACTCTCTCTTCCTCTCACACTCCACATCTAACCATGAGCAAATTCTATCAGCTCCACCTTCAAAATATCTTCACAGATCTGATGGCCATTCACCCCTACCCCTGCATCCACCCTGGTCTGAGCTTCCATCATCTCTCACCTGATTACTGCAGCAGCCCCCTCTCTTCCCCCCTTTAGAAACATAAGTTATTATGCTATATAATTTAGTTAGCCCGTCGCTCCTCTGCCCCCACTCTCCCATCTCTCTGACCTCCTCTCCCCTGTCTCTCCCCCTTCCCTCTGGTCCAGCCACCGTGGCTTCCTTGTTGTTCCTGGAATACACCAGCATCCCCCTGCCCCAGGGCCTTTGCACTGGCTGTTCCCTCTGCCTGGTATGCTTCTCCCTAGACATCACAGGGCCGATTCCATCACTCCCTACAAGTCTTTGTTCAAATCTCACCTTCCCCTTGAGACCCTCCTTCACCACCCCCTGTAATTCTGCAACTTTCCTCCCACTCTCGTTTCCTCTTACTCTCTACTTTTCCTTTTCCCATATCACCTATTACCTTTACTACACTATGTAATTTAGCTATTTATTGTTTTTATTTAATTGCCTGTCTTTCCACACTAGACTATAACTCCACAGAGCAAGGTATTATTTGTTTTGTCACTGACATTACCCAGCCCCTCCAGCTGCACCGGTCCACGGAGGGTGCTCAGTGATATTTGTTGAATGGATGCGTAAATGCCGCCTAAGCCTTCCTTGTCCGATGTCTGCTATTTCCTCAGGCTCTGAGTGAGGATAGAGAGTTGAATGGACCACATGTCAAGGAAATGCCACTTTTGCTGGTTGCCCTAGAGAATGTCACCACTAAATTGTAGATGTCAGCCCCTGAACAGGAGTTTTCACGCTAGCTGGGCCTGCATGAGCTCAAAATAAGACGATGTTGAGTGTGTCTTTTTATTTGAGCACACCAATCAGGCCAGTCCTCAAGGAATAGGTCATCTAGCTCCATGAAATCCCTTGCCCTGCTCCTAGAACAGATCAAGAAGAGAGATTCCCGGCTCCCTTTGCACCAAAAGAGGCTGAAGAAATCCAAGGGGCATCTGGGGACCAGCAAACGGGGACTCTGTCTGAGGATCTGGGGCCAATCAAGTAACCAACTGATGAAGCTTGGGTATAGCCAAGCTGGACCAGAGGGGACAACAGGAAAAAGTATGTGATTTCCTGAACAGACACTGCCTTGGTCAAAGGCTGATGTGGGGCTTCCCTGGTGGCGCAGTGGTTGAGAGTCCGCCTGCCGATGCAGGGGACACGGGTTCATGTCCCGGTCTGGGAAGATGCCGCGGAGCGGCTGGGCCCGTGAGCCATGGCCGCTGAGCCTGCGCGTCCGGAGCCTGTGCTCCGCAACGGGAGGGGCAACAACAGTAGGGGGCCCCCGGAGTACAAAAAAAAAAAAAAAAGGCTGAGGTGGATCAGGCATGTTTGGAATAGCAAACATTCAACCATTTAATTCTTACACCCCCATAGGTACATCCCTGGCCGTCACCTTGTGCCCAAGCCCTGTTAATGACCCACTGGGTTGCCTTGGACAAAATGCCTGACCTTTTTGGGCTTCGATTTCCTCAACTCTCAAGTGATCTTTAGGACTCCGTCTAGTGAGGACAGTCTGTAGTTCTGGGATTCCATATCTGATCCATCACCAGTAACCTGGTACAAATATTAGCCCAAGCAGGGAAAAGAGAGAGGGAGATGATTCCCCACAGTATGCCCTGGCTACAGAGGCAGGAAACTGAGTCTGAATTCCAGTTCTATCCCTTGCCAGTTGTACAGCCTTGCTCCCTTGTCTTCAGTCTCCACATCTGTGAAATGGGGATAATCATTTATCCTAAGGTTGTCAGAAATAGGTAAGATGATGTGAGTTAAGTGCTGATGGCAGGCTGGAGGTGGGTAGCTACTATTACAAAGAGACAGGGACCCTCAGTAGAGAATGAGTGTGACTCCAAGGCTTAAAAGGGAGCACCAGTGACCTTGGGTTTCAACCTGGGACGTAAATATTATTGCACTTACCCTTGTAGTTCTAAAAAGACACACATTCCACTTCAGGGGAAATCAAGAAGTATTTTTGTCTGGAGATTGAAAAGAGGCAACATGATAAAGTAAGGCAAGGTATCCGCAATGCTTTGTACTATGTCAACTTTGTTAAGCTACAACTACATTTCCCAGCATCCCCTTTTCTGTAGTTCTGGGAATGAACCCTAAGTATGCTGGATCAGAGAAAAAAAAAAAAAAATGTAGTGTTGGATCTGGCCAAATTCGTTGACCTGGATGCATTAAGCAGAGATTCTGGATTCAATGCATTAGCTCAGTCAGCTGGGACTGATTTTAATAGTGCTTGGTTGCGTGACTAAGACCTGGATACAAAGGTGGCCTACACTAAGTGAAGTTCTAATGCCAGCACTTGCCTGCTAGATTGCAGAGGAAGGTATCCAAAGGCTTAGGGGTACTGGAATGCTGAAGTGGATTTATCATGCAAGACCTGCTCATCCGCCCCCAACATGTGCACGCTGCCCTGCAAGCTGCTCTGCCAGCTGGGCTGTGCGACGCAGAAGATCTGATGATGCCTGAAGGGTCTGAGGTAGATAGCGATGCTGTATGGAGACTTAGGCAGGCCCCCTAGGCGAATCGCAGAATAGACTCGAGATTCTGGAGAAAAGCTATGCCACTGTCTGGAGATAATTCTTCTTCTTCTGAGACATGGCTTCTGTGCTGCTGCTGAAACTTGTAAGGAAAGCCTGATCGTGGACCACCAAGTTACCGTGCCTTCTGAGCTGCCCATCATGTACTGGGTGTTGTCTGAGCAACCAAACCATAAAATTAGGCACTTGTGGAAGCCATTTCATCATAAGATAGGAGTGGCATATACAAAATCAGCTCAAGTAGGTCAGAAAGACACAAGGAAGTCACCTGAGGAAATACTCCAAACGCCCCCTCCCTTCTCAGGTTGCAACACTTCCTGTCTCTCAATCCACACATGTGGCCTCCTGTGGAATTCCCTGACAAGTTAACTGAGGCAGAAGAAAATGGTTCTGGTTTACAGAGGGTTCTACAGCATAGGCTGACACTACCCACAAAGGGGCAGCTGCGTCACCATAGCCCCACTCTTCGGGACTGTGATGAAGGAAAATCCTCCCAGTGGCAGAGCTTTGAGCAGGGAGCCTGATTGTTCACTGAGCCTGGGAGGAGACACGGTCGCAGGTATGGATCTACATTGATTCATGGGCTGTGGCTAACAATTTGGCTGCATGAGTCAGGCACTTGGAAGGAACATAATTGGAAAATTGCTCAAGTGAGGTCTTGAGAAGAGCTATATGCTAAAACTTTCCAAATTGGAAGATTGGGTGAATGTATCTGTGTCCTATGTACACACTCATCAGAGAGTGGCCTCAATAAAGGAGGACCTTAATAACTAGATGAGTAAAATGATCCATTTTGTGGATTTCAGTCAAACTCTTTCCCAAGACCTCCTTATCACTGCCCAATGGGCTCATGAACAAAATGGCCATGGTGGGAGGGATGGAGGTTATGCATGGGCTCAGCAAATCAGACTTTCACTCATCAAGGCTGACCTGGCCACAGTCACTGCTAAGTCCCAAGGACCAACTGCAGGGTCCAACACCGCACCCCCAATGTCGCACCGTGTTTGCTCTCTTTTACTTATCCAGACCCTTATTTTAGATATGGATTTGGCTCCCCATCCCACAGGGCTTTTGCCAAAACCACCATCTGTGGAGTTACAGAAAACCTTGATCACCATCAAAGCATCCACACAGCTTTGCTTCAAATCATTTATAGTAAGTAAATTGTGGCAATGGGCCCATGTTCAGTTAATTCACTAGCCTTACCATGATCTCCATCACCCTGAAGCAGCTGGTCTGACAAAATGGCAGAATGGCCTTTTGAAGGCTTGGTTATGGCATCAGTCTTGTGACAACATCTTGCAGGCCTGGGGCAATATCCTCCAAGGAGCAGCTGACGCTCTAGAATCAACAACCAATATACAGCGTTATTCACTTCATAGCCAAGATTCCCAGGTCCAGGGTGGAAATGGATGTGGCTCCTCTCACTATTATCCTGTGTAATCCACTAGCAAAATGTTTGCTTTCTGTCCCCATGACTTTAGGTTCTGTTGGTCTAGAGGTCTTAGTTCCCAAAGGAGGAATGTCAGGAGACACAACAACAGTCCCATGAAACGGGAGTTGAGATTGCTGTCTGCCCACTTTGGGCTCTCCATGCCAATGAGCCAGTGGGTGTAGAAATGAGTCTCCATACTGGCTACAGTGATTAATCCTGAATAGCAAGGGTTGCTGCTATACAATGCAGATAAACAGGAAGATACACTGAATTCAAGAGATCCCCTGAGGTATTTCTTAATATTCCCATATTCTGTGTTGAAATTCAATAAAAAAACACAACCACCCATTATAGGTAGAACAGCTGGTATCCCAGACCCTTAAAGAATAAACCTTTGAGTTACACCAAGGCCAAGTTTATTGCTGAGGGCAAATGGATTATGAAATGGTTAGCGGAAGAAGAAAATTATAAATATCAACTACAATCACATATATGACCAGTGGAGGAAATGAGGAAGGTAACAGATTTGAGTATTTTTTCCTGATTTTATGTGAAAATATTAATGTACATGTTAATGGATTCCTTTTTCTCCCTCCCTCATTCCTCTATTATCTAACATAAGATGTGTTAACAGGAGCTAACTGATCATTCAGCATTTAAGTGATGGGATACCTAATAAGGAGTCTGACTGAGCTAGAAAAGGTATAAACATCTCCCAAAGATGAATAAAGAGATTTTGTATCCATTTTGGGGAAGAAGGTTACTGTGCTTTCAATAGTACCAGGGATTATGTGAGGTGGAAGCATGATTTTACTAGGATATTAACTTGGAAGTTAAATATGGTTAAAAGAATATGTAAATGTGCCGAGCTGCTATGGGTAATCCATGGTGGTTTTTACTAGGTCAACTTAACTAACCTGGAACTGCATCTCTCAGAATCCCTTTCCCTTTAAGGTTCTAAGTTTTGTTGGCAGCAGAGAAATTTGCTTGGGATTTGGAAGACAGAAGTGAAGCAGCAGCCATGTTTGCGTTCAGAAGTTCACAGTGGGATTAGGCATGGTTGTTCTCACACATGGCTCACCACGTTGGGTGGGGCAGCTCCTGGGCCCTCAGCAGCCCTGCTACAAGTCCTCCAGGCTCTCCAGACCCCAGGTTGGGTGCTGTGCAGCTCCAGGGTGAAGTGTGTCAGCTTCTTCTGCAAGCTTGGAGATGGCAAGAGATACACACGAGTTCCAGTTCATCACTGTGGGTTCTGGCTTATTCTTTCAGAAGTCATTGTTTTTCCCACTGCCCATCCATCTTTCTGTCCCAACTGCCTGCCCAACTGACTTCAGGATTAGCACCAGAGGCAGAGGCCACAACCCTCTGTAGACTGTTTAACCAGCCCCCCAAATTGCATTAAGGTCAAATCCCTATAACAAATCCTGTATTCTTTAGCACTCTTATTTGCTCTGCTTCCTTGAACAAACCCTAACTGAGGCCATGTCGTAGGTTGGGTTCCCTACAAGGAGAGCCTGGAGTGGGAATTGCCATGTAAACGATTTATTGAGAGAGAGCTCTCAGGAGAAAACTGGGAGTGACTAAAACAGGTTGGGGGTGAGGAGGAAGCGAAATGAAGATGTAGGCTCAGCTAAAGTCTAGCTTCAGCCTAACCCCATGGGAAGTTCTGGAGCATGAATGACACCACAGAGTTGTCCCACCTAGAGAAAAGAGGGTCAGCACGGTGTACTTTTACACAATCAGTTATTTCCTAGGGGTACCCCTGGGAGAGGGTGTAATCTTCCAGGCATTTCTTCATGAAATGGCTCCTAGAGGCCAAGGGCAATTCTCAGGAGAAGAGGGCAGCTGTGAGCTATTAGCAGTCAACACACAGCTGCAGATGGGTGCACTGGCCTGGCAAAGAGGGTCAGGGTAAGGCACCAACAGCCTCTGCTACACATGGGTTTTCATATTAGGAGACCTGGGTTTGAATCCCAACTTCACTACGTAATGGCTATGTGACATTGCACAAGTTTCCCAAATTCCCTAAACCTCGTTATTCTCTTCCGTAAAATGGGAGTAATAACAGTGCATGACAGATATACAGCAGCTTAGAAGAGCGCTGGGCACATCACAAACATTCAATGAATATTAGTATTATTGAAGAAGAAGAAGTAGAAGAAGAAGAAGGAGGAGGAGGAGGAGGAGGTGGCGGGGGAGGGGGAAGGGAGGGGGAGGAGGAGGAGAGGAGGAGACGGAGAAGAATAGCTTAGAGTAGGAGTCAGAAGTCTGGGGTCTGGTCCTGGATCTGTAATCTACTGCTCTCAGTTTCCTCAACTGTAAAATGGGAATAACTAGGTAATAATATCTGGTTTCCCTGCCATGGAGGAAACGTCAGGGTAGCAGAATAATTACCCCTCCAAGATGTCCATGTCCAAATCCCTGGAAAGTGTGACTATATTACCTTGTACGATAAAAGGGACTTTGCAGATCTTAAGATGGGACAATTACCCTGGGTTATCCAGGTAGACCCAACGTAATCACAAGGGGGGCAGAAGGATCAGAGTCAGTAGTAAATGTGATCATGAACGCTAAAGGATAGAATGATGAGAGGAACGGGCCGTAAGCCAAGGAAAGCAAGTGGCCCCTAGAAGCTGAAGAAGGCAATGGAACGTATTCTCCCTCAGATCCTCCAGAAGGAGCCAGCCCTGCTGACACCTTGACTTTAGCCCGGAGAAGCTGATTTCAGACCTCTGATCTCCAGAACTTTGGGAGAATAAATATGTGTTGTTTTCAGTCACTAAGTGTGTGCACATTTATTACAGCAGCAATAGGACACTAATGCAGGGACCGATGAGACAACATGTCTGAGTATCATAAACCATCCGGACCCACTCACCACCGTAGTCATGGCCCTGGGGTCTTAGGATTGGGACATGAGAATGAAGAAAACAGGCCAGCTAGATCTTAGGAGATTTTATTGGCATGTGCCAAATCATGGGAGTTAGGCAATGCCCAAACCAAGCCTGAATCCGAAAGAAAGACTGTCATAAAGATTGTAGGCTCCAAAATTAGAGAAACTTTCCAAGTTCCCTCCCACCATTTCCATCTCCCTCTAAACACACCACTGATCCCACCCACACCCATATGACAGATTCAGGGAGCTGGAAGGAGAGGACACATCAACTTTTCTTCTGAGACATCTTCCCTCTCTGCCTAAAATTTCAAATAGTCCAAACCAGACTCCTCCATGCTCTGTATCAAACCATGGAAGTCCTAGCTCTAGATTAAATACGCTAAAAGCCACAGAGGGGACAGGCCTTGCCAATTCAGATCCTTTCTTCTAGAAAGCTATGACCAAGCACTTTATTTGGAGGCATGTTTGATTAACAGAGGAAATGAAACTTCACTAGCTATATGACAGCTAGGACAAAGGAGGGCCACTATACTGGGCCAGGTACCAGGTATCTGGTCCATCACAGTCTTCCTCCCCAAGATGCTGCATAGCAAGGATTGGGGGAATTTGGAAAGTTTGAGTGTTATCTGTTTGCTCAAGGGTCATTGTTAATTTGACTTTAATGTTAGACCTCTATATGATGAAGGACAATATAATTCAACAAGGATGCTACACTCACACTGGTCTGGTGCTTACTCTATATATTGGTCAGGTTTCCACTCTACTAAGGCTGTATAACAAACATCCCCAAATTCCCAGTGACTCACAATACCAAATATGTATTTCATACTCACAGATCTGTAAGTCAGCTACAGTTCAGTTGATTTTGGCTGGGTTAAGTTGGGTGCAGCTGGGCTCCAAGCTTTAGTAGGCATCGGGTCCGTCCCACACATCTTTATTCTAGGACCTCAGGTCTCAGGTTCTCTCATGTAGAACAGAAGCTCAAGAATGCTGGCAGGAACTTGCCATGGCTCTAAAAATCTTACCTTGGAACTAGCACACGATTATTTCCACCTACATTCTATTGGCCAAAGTAAGTCACATGGCTAAGTCCAAAGTCAATGGGAAAGTATATTCCCTCTATAGGGAAGCCATGGGAAGGATGAGAAGAAAAGAACTGAAGAAAAACAGTGCAATATAACAGAGTCCAGATAGAGTCTCTGATATTTTCAAGTGTCACCTCTCTCCCTGCTCACCCTTCCAGACCAAAACTGTCCTAGAAACAAAAGCTTGCTGGTACCCTCCTCTCCCAGTTCTATGGGGTTCCAATTATATTTCTACAAGGAGGAGATTGCTGTATGGAGCATCATCTCTGGATAGAAGACAAACAAAAGAGGTTCCTCAATGAAAGAGTTCCTAAATATTATCTCACCCTAACAATTCACTGAACAGATGGGGAAACTGAGACGCAGACATGTGCAAAGTCTTCTCAATGTCACAGAGACATTCAGCCCAGGGGCTCCAAAGTCAGCTTGCCCAGGTTCTAGTTCTGGTTCCATCAGTTATTAAGGTATAATCTTGGGTAAATTACCACAATCTCTCTGCATCTGTTTCCTCGTCTATAAATGAGGAAAATAATAGTTCCTACCTCACAGGGTTATTATGAAGTTTGAAAGCTGAAGCACTTAGAAAAGTAACTGATAGGTACTGAATAATTTATCGTCATTATCATTATAATAATTCCACATACAATTATTAGTCCAATAATTCTCCAATTACCACTCCATCTTAGGTACTTAGGAATTAGTTTCTGGTCCAAGGAGCTCCCATATCATGAAGGAGACAGAGAGAAATAAGCAAATTCACCATGTGAAATATTCTCCCGAAGGGGGAGTCACAAGGGGTAGAGGGTGAGTCTAATTTTGCCCTGAATGGGAAGAACAAAGACTAGGAAGACTTCCAAAAGGAGAAGTAATCTGAACCTAGTCCCAAATAGTGTGCAGAATGTTTTCCAGATGGACAAGAGGATAAAAGAGATTCCGGCAGGGGAAAGAGTAGGTGCAAAGGCACTGAGGTATGGAGAAGTAGCTCAAAGTGTGTTTGGAAAGTGTGAGCAATTCCAAATAACTGGATGATCTGTTGAATAGTGTTAGGAGAGAAAGATGAGGGTCAGATGTTGGAGAGTTCAGAATGCCAGGTAAGGTGCTTGAATTCCTCCTATTGGCCTGTGATCTCAAACTTTTCCTCATAAGAAGCACTAAAGGCATATGGAAGGAAATATTGCCTGTAGGGGTCTAGACAATGGCATTTCTTTATATACTTTGAAGTTTCCAGTATTATCTTAATTCCTATAAATTTGTATCTTCTTAATGTTATACCTATGTCCATTTACTCGCTTAACAAATGTTTATTAAGTGCCTACTGGCACTTAGAATACCAGGAAATAAAACCAAGATTCTTGCCCTGTGGATCTTTTATCCTAGAGGGGCAGGGGAAAATGTTGGTTTATTGAAAGGCAATAAATAATAATGATAATAGATGATATATAGAGACAGATGATAGATAGATAGATAGATAGATAACTGAGTGTATTAAAATGTAAGTGCTCTGGAAAATAGGAAATTAGAGAAGGATAAGGTAAGCTTTCATTAAATGAATTAATGAATAATTCATTAATTGAATAATCAGTGAATTAAGATGGATGGATGGATGGATGGAAGGAAGGATGGATGGATAGAAGGAATGAGAAGTCTGGATAGATGGTGGGGAACCACTGAAAGGTTTTAAGAATGGGAATGACAATACTCACATCTGCCAATCCCCTGCCTCCTACAAGGCTTCCACTCTCAAGGTAGCAGGTTGCGGTTCTATACATTCAGGGTCAGGCAAAGGTGTGTTCTGCCAGAGCAGGTTTCTCAGATACTACCTGGTCCCCAAGCAGGTCATCAGCTTGTTACCCACACTTCAAATGCAGCTGAATTTCCAAATGCGCATTTGATATAAATACCTTCTGGGCACATAGCAGTTAATAAATAACTTGGTTAAACTGCAGCAGGGGGAGGGAGCTCCAAAACTGGAGGTGGAGATGGAATACTAGGGTACGCGGCCCTTATTAATGACCGAACTGCAATCTCTGCAAAGAGGGGAAGGATACTTCAGGAAATGAGTGTATGATAATCATTATTCTGTCAGCAGCACCCCGATAGCTTCTCCCAGACACGCAGCCTCCTCTAACCCAGCCTTCTAGGGAGAGGAGGCAGGAGCCCAGGGTTCCTGGCTGCCCATCAGGGTGAGTCATTCTGCCTTCCTGGGCTTCAGTTCCTCATCACTAAAATGGGAAGGCAATTTCTCAGTCCTTCTCATAGGATTGAGTACATTAATGGGTGGAGGAACTTTGGAATCTGTAAAAAAAAAAAAAAAAAAAAAAAGCCTGAGGAATGGTTCTATTCATTAAAAAGAAAACTAAATATTTCCCATTTTCCATTTTATAAAGCCTGGGCAGTGCGGTGGTTAAGGATGGGATCACACACAGCTGGCTTCAAATTCTGCTTCTGCTTCTTTCAAACTACGATGATTGGGACAAATTGTTTTAGCTCTCTGAAGACTCGATTTTCTCATCTGTAAAATGGGGTTGTCACCCTTCCCTCATAGGGTTATTGGGAGCATTAAAAGAGATACTGAGCTCTGGTGCCCAGGACATAATAAGTGCTTTATGAGCGTAGCTCTAATGACTGTTGTTGCCATTGCTTTGTGGCCCGGCCTCCTGTCCGTGACCCTATGATTTAGAACAAGGCTGTCCCAGCCTGCTCATGCCCCACCATCAGATACTGAGTGGTGGGTGCAGGTGTGAGAAGGGGCCTGTGTACAAAAGCCTGGAGTAGACACTGCACCCCCTGCTCCCTCAGGGTCTCTCTTCCAGACTACTTCTGGGGGAGACAAGAGTAGATCAAGGGCAGGAGAGAGAGGGATATGGCTTTGATCTCTTCATGGGGGTGTAGCCACTTCCCCTCAAAGCCAGAGGAGATGCTGATGGGGTCCCCAGGAAAGGCTTATCAGCTCAGGCCTCTCTTGACACCTGACCAAGTGCCCCAGGCTCAGCGATGATATTTCCTGAGTCCAGACCCTCTGCTCCCTGCGCCCGTCACATCCCATGAGGTTCAAACACAGGCTGCCACGGCCCCCAGCACTGCAGGCCCCAACTATGGGCTCCACGCCTGGAGCCCAGGGGCCCATGACATTTCACAGCCAGTAAAACGGCTGGTTTGTGAAGCGGGGGTTGGTGCCATGGCCCGCCTCTGGGCTGTTTTCTCCCTGGGCCGCTGTTTTAGAAACTGCCCAGGTCAGGGAGGCCTCTTTCTCTGGGCAGGAGGGCCTTGTTCCGTTTTGTTGTTACTGCTGTTCTTTTTAAATGGAATGAGATGCAAGTTTCAGGACACCGAGAGACCCAGAGGCCAGAAAAGTTTTATTCTCCTTTTATTCTCTCTATCAAACGGAAGAATTACTACCTGACTTACTGGACTCCTGCCCCCTGACTGCTGTTATGAATACTGTGAAGAATAATAATAATGGCTTACATTTACTTTCAGTCTGCTAGGTGCTAGGCACCAAGTGCTTTACCTGCACCAACTCGATAAGAGTCTGGTAGGTTCTAGGCCCCTGAGCCAGCGGGACTCCCATCTGTCAAGTGCACATTCCAAGTGCAGGGAGCTGGTCTGATCTCGTATATTGCTCCCCTCAGGGGAGAAATGGTGGGACCAGAATGACATGAAATCCCAGCTCCTTTAACTCATCGGAAACTCCGGCGGCAAGTTTCACCGCATTCTCTCATGGATCCATTTTTTTTTTTTTAACATCTTTATTGGGGTATAATTGCTTTACAATGGTGTGTTAGTTTCTGCTTTATAACAAAGTGAATCAGTTATACATATACATATGTTCCCATATGTCTTCCCTCTTGCGTCTCCCTCCCTCCCACCCTCCCTATCCCACCCCTCGAGGTGGTCACAAAGCACCGAGCCGATATCCCTGTGCCATGCAGCTGCTTCCCACTAGCTATCTACCTTACGTTTGTTAGTGTATATATGTCCATGCCTCTCTCTCGCCCTGTCACAGCTCACCCTTCCCCTCCCCATATCCTCAAGTCCGTTCTCCAGTAGGTCTGTGTCTTTATTCCTGTCTTACCCCTTAAAACCCCCAAGGTGATTTCTAAACCAGAAGAAACTTTTAGCAGGGAAGTTGTGAGCCTTTTGGGGTCTCATCTCCTGTTGCAGAGACATCAGCCATCTTCCTGGAAAGAGACACCTGTTGCTTGCAAGCAACTTGGTTGAAAACAGAGTCAGTGGTCGAAGCTATTCATCTCTCTGCTCTCCAAGAGAAGGAAAAACACTGCATGTTGGTACGGGGTCGGTCTCAGGTCCGTACAGTGGTTTCTGAGACCTCCTGTGGGAGGTGCCCACCCCTTGGATCGCTCTCAGCTGAGGAATCTCGGAGTTGGGCGGGGAGGCCAGCTGGAGGGGTGGAGGGGATGGGGAGGGGGCATCGCAAAGAAGCAGGGTCATGACATCACGTGAGGTCTTCCCTGCTCTGCAGGCTGCGACACCAAGCTGGGTAGTAAGAGGCCACGCGCTCTGTGTGACCTTAGGCGAGCCTGAGCCTCCTCCAAGCCTCGGTTTCCCTCTTTGAAAAATGGCAATAATGTTTGATTGACCTGGTCCTGCCCAGTTCACGGGGCTGTTGAGAGGATCACAAGAGATGATGGCTGTGAAAGTGCCTGGAAGACCTCAACATGTCGTTCACATACAGACGATGACGACAGTGGTGGGGTGGGGGGTGGACAGTGGCCTCGCACTCTGAACCCTTCACAAGAGGCTGGAAGTGTTGGTTGGATCAGCACGCCGTATGACCCTACGTGACTCACCGAACCTCTCTAGGCTTTGATGTTCTGTCCTGTCAAATGCGAATAGTGAAGGCCACACTGCGATAAGAGGTATGGGAGGACTCTGAACACCTGTTTGACGGGGTTTCGCTTTAGTCAATATTTATTTGGCAAGAAGAGCTCTTCTG